CTACAAGCTAGGAAGAAGTCCTTCACCACTCCATTAACTAGGATAGAGTAATGGCAGGAACTAACACATCCAAAAATCCAACTGCACCACTTATTCCCAAAGCCACAATTTCTCAATACTTGTACCAAGAAGTGCTAGTCCACCAAATCATAGGCCTTTTCTAGATCCAACTTACAAACAAAGCCTTTTTCTTTTAGATCTTCTCATATCCTCCACACACTCACTAGCAATTAGGATCTGATCTACTATTTGTCTCCCTTGTACAAAGGCCCCTTGGGCTTGGCTTATTAGGGATGGGAGAACTAGTTTAAGCCTCAAAGGCAACACCTTAGCCAAGATTTTGTAAATGCTAGTTACCAAACTAATTGGCCTGAAATCCTTAGGTTGAAAAGCATCTGGTTTTTTAGAGACTAAGGCCAAAAAGGTGGCATTGACTCCCGGACTTACTATATGATTCTCAACAAATTCCTTAACAGCATCACATAAATCCTCTTTCAAAATGTCCCAACAATCTTGGTAGAAAGCCATAGTAAATCCATCCGGACCTGGCGCCTTAGATCTGTCCATCATGAACATTGCCCTTCTGGTCTCCTCTTCTTCAATATTCCTTTCTAACCACCTTGCTTTTTCTCCATCTAAACTCGGCCATTCCAATCCTTCCATAGGCACCCTCTCATTCAATGTCCTTCTAAAGACAGCTTTAAAATGATCTACAAAGGTCCTAGCTATATCCTCTTGATTGGTAACTACCTGCCCTTCTAACTCTAGTCTAGCCACTAAGTTCTTCCTCCTACCATTTGCCAACTCATGAAAGAACCTAGTATTCCCATCCCCCTCCCTAATCCACTTGTGCCTTGACTTCTGCCTCCAACAAATCTCTTCTCTGAGTAAAACCTCTTCTAGATCCTTTTTCAATTGCCTTCTTGATTCTCTATCCTGCACACTCAACAGCCCTTGGGCTTCCCTCTCGTCCAGCTTTTCAATTTGTGTGAACAGATTCAGCTTTTGTTCCTCTACCCTACCAAAGTGATCTTTATTCCACTCCTTCAACTTAACTCTCAGTCTCTTCAGCTCCTGATGGAATTTAATTCCTTTCCACTTTATTCCCCTTAATTCCTCGTTCCAGCAATCCTTCACTAAGCTTTCAAAATCCGAATGAGTTAACCACATATTCTCAAACCTAAATGGTTTAGGTCCACTAATTAGGGATTCCACACCGATCTTAATGGGACAATGGTCTGAAGTGACCCTAGGCAAAGCACTAGAGACTAGATTTCCCCAGTAGTTTTCCCATTCTAGGTTGAATAGAAACCTATCCAGCTTTGAACAGAGGATTATCTTGAAAGTTAGACCAGGTGAATCTAGCTTGCATCAAGGGAATTTCTTTTAACTCACAATCTTCTATAGACCCATTAAATTTCCTCATGCTTGTTGTAATTGACCGTACATGATTACTAGATTCCTTTGAGTATCTTGTGACATTAAAATCCCCTCCTAAACACCAAGGCCCATCCCATAAACCTCGAATTGCATACAATTCCTCCCACAATTCATTCCTTTCTCTATAGGTATTAGGGTCGTACACATTGGTAAGTACCCAACAAAATCCATCCTCCAAATTCTTGAATTTAATGGAGACAGAGCATCTACCCACTAGCTCCTCCACCGCTTCCATTACCTCATTCTTCTAGACGGTGACAATTCCTCCAGCGGCTCCCCAAGATGGAGCCAAGGACCAACTAACACCCCTAGTCCTCCAAAAATTTCTTATCCATCTTCCATCCAGTTCAGAGAGCTTCGTCTCTTGCACCATCACAATATCAGGCTTCTCTCTTGTGAATAAATCCTTTATTACCCTCCTTTTCCTAGCACTTCCCAATCCTCTCACAATCCAGCTGATAATTCTCATGGATACACTTTGGATAAAGTCCCTCCTGAAGTCGACTCCTCACCTAGAGTTCTTCCTCCTCTCTCCCCTTCCTCTAAACTCAAGATCAGCCTCAATGTTAGATATTAGCCTTTGCACCTCAGTTCTTTTCTTCTTTTTATGCTCCTTTTTCTCCTCTTTTTTCTCCTCAGGTTTCCTATGGTATGTTTTAGCTACTTTTTTCCCCACCCCAAGGTCAACCTTTTGATAACCTCTTCCTGTTTTAGGATTCAATTCTGTCTCCTTATCAACTTCTATTTCAATACCCTCTCCTTCCTCACTAGACAATCCATTTTTCTGAGGATTCACTTCCAAGTAACCTTCATTCTGATTTCATCAGATTCTGTACAGATCAGCTTCCATATTCTCTCCACCTCCTCCCCCACACCCTCACAATGAGTTGACTCTTCCTTCCTAGCCTTCCCTATAAACAGTGATATATCCCTCTACCAAATTAATGAAATTTTGCCAACTTTGCTTTATCAACTTGTTTTCTTTGGAGAAGAGAGACTTTTTCTCCCTCCTGGTGACAAGTCCCCTCCTTTCTCTTCTCTTGGTTAGTGAGACTTGAAGTAAATAATTAGAATCTAGTAGTGAGACTCTCCTAGCAATCTTTTTTTTCTCTTATTCTACTATTTTCTTTTCTTCTTTATTTTCTTTTATTATTGTGCAAAACACCATCAAAGCTAGCAAAGCTTAAGGAGACTGCTTTGGGGAATGCTTACCAATGGAAAAAGATCCTCGTAAAACAAATGCCAAAAGATATGATGGTTGCAATCTCATTGACAAAACTTGTAGGGCTATAGATTGTAGAAGGCACATGAAGTCAATGGGGTTAAAGGCAAGCTGACAATTTTTGACCTAGTTGGCAAGAGATCAGAAGGAGTGAACATGGATCCTTGATTGAAAATCTTCAAGGTGTAGATTAATCCAGTGACCAAGAGACAAGCAATCTGTGGACAAATTAGACGTCATTTTTTCTATTTAAACAAATGATGAATGCATACCAAGGATTTTTTAATAATATAACAATTAATATTATTTCTAACAATGGATATGGCATTGCATAGAACAGAATGGTGAAAAAGGATCCATTTAACCAACTCATAGCTAGGACAAGGCTTAGATGATGATAATGATAATTAATATTATTTTGTTTATTTTTTTATAAAGTTTCATCCTTGGTTTTGTAGCATGTGTGGATGACACTTTGATCACATTGTATCAACATTTATCAAGTCAATGAAGAGAAAATCTTGGCCTAAGTAAGGTTGGGTGGTCAAGTGTAGGCATGCAACTTAGGTGGGCTCAGGTTGGACTTTTGTGACAACTTGAATGGGCCTGGCCCAGAAACCTGAGACAGAAGCAGTGTAATATGCTAACTTGGGCCAACCCAAGTTGCACCCCTAGTCATGTGGGAAAAAAACAAACATGATCATGTAAGATTTTTCTTTCCTAGCTCTAGAAAGGAAGACCAAGTAAAGCAGGAGAAAAACATCCATGATCATGTAAGTTCCTCCATTAGAAGGTGAGTCAAATTATACTTTGATGAATGTAGCATGGGAAACCCCAGAACATCTGGAACAGGAGGTACTTTTAGAGACTAAAGTGGGAGCATCTTGGCATTATTCTATGGACCCATAGAGGAGAGCAATTCAATCAGAGCTGCGTTGATAGCAGCATTGCAAGGTCTAAGAATGGAAAGGATACTAAGATTGAGGAACCTAGTGGTGGAAGGGGGGCTCAAAGGTGGCAGTGCATTGGCTACAGAAAAGCAAACAGGGCCCTTAGCAATATTGGTACTAATTGAAGGAGCTGAGAACCTTTCTGTTTTTGATAGCCAAGGAGCTGAGAACCTTGGCAGCTAAAATGCATGCAAGGTTCAAAGTATCAACACACTCAATACTGAACGTGTAAAATGTGTGATTCTGTTGTTTTCTGTACTTTTCTCTGTCTGACTTTTCAGGAGGGATATTATTAGGATGGTTTCTAATGTTTACACCCATAGAAACCCCATAAGTATCTCTATTCAGCATTTCAGTGGGTTTAAAAAACAATAAGTACAATGCACACTGATACGTTGTGATATTTTGAAACTTAAATGAATGTAAAGCTTCACTTAGACTTACAAATCAGAAAATGTGCTAGCTGATGCAATGGCTAGGCAAGGGGAGAACAGGAAACTGATGTTTTTGGGGCAACTTGTTGTAAGAGAATAAGTGTCGGGTGAGGAATTGCCTCAATGGAGTGCTGGACAACTTATATCTTGAGGATTCTCAGCATTTCATAAACATTCATTCTTTCACTTAATCATTAAAATTCCCACAGTTACAAATATATATATATATATAGAGAGAGAGAGAGAGAGAGAGAGTTTAGACTAGAAGAGGGTGTTCAATGTTCTATATGTTTGAAACTAATACTACTTGTCAATAGCATCTAATCACCATTAGCAATACTAATCCTCAAAAGTGAAAGATAAACAAGGTACACCTATCCTCCCCACCTTTCACAAAAGAAAATAGTGGGAAAAACTTGTGGCTGTCCAATTCAAATTATCTAGTTCCACATTGCAGTACACAGGTGGAAACATTGGTTGGGATCCTTGTTTTAGAATCTCTAGTAGGTACTCCAAGCCACAAGGATCAACAGGGTGTTCACTAAGTCACTGTGCTATATATAGGAAACTAACCAATTGGCCATGGCATCTAATTATTCATTAGCATCATTAATCCCCAGGATAGAAGGTGCAAGTACCCACCCCACACACACACACACAATAAGAATATTGTTGGCTTCCCAATTAGGAATCTCTAGTTCCCTTTTATAATCATAATCTAGGATCCGGTGTTTTAGAATCACCACATTTATTCCAGACCATAAGAATCATCAGTATTACATCATCCTAAACTTTTGTTAATAGAAAACAATTTTATAGGTTAAGCAACTAAATTGTTTGAGGTAAAACAAAACAAGAAATTAGCAAGTGCGATAAGATTCGCATTTAGAACAATATAGAGTGCTTGACGAGTACGTAACAAATAATAGGAATTAAATGTTAAGGTCTAATTACCACAATCACCGTATAATCTTCTTAGTGCCTGCTGAGAGCCTCCGATAGGAGTGTGGCCTCGAATTATAACTCCATCGATATCAAAAGCGATCCCAAAAGAAGGTCTGCTAGTATTCAAATCAACTGAGAAGCCAACGGATGCAACAAGCAGGAGATTAAACAGACTAAAGAAAATGGAGAAGAAACGAACCTTTCGGGCCGATATAGCAGTTGACAGAACGAGCGTGAAGCAACAGTGTGAAGCAGTGATAATGGCGCTCTGCTTCTACTCCGCAAAACCCTAAATAAGGTAGCAATTCTCATTTTCTTCCCCTTCTCGATGCTTAAAGGATTGCCATCAGCGCTGTTAAGCTGAACAAATGTTCTCTTCAACAGTAATGCTTGGGCTCACGATTCCGACCAGATCAGATTGAAATCGGATTCTTTTATATTTGAAATCGGATTCGAATGAGATAAATATTTATATAATTGATAAAAATAATTAAAAATAAATTTTAAATATTAAAAAATATTTATTTTTACTTTCAACTGAATCGGATTATTTCGGATCGGATAGGAATTGATCCGTATTTAATCTAAACAGATTGAATTCGAATTTCGGATTAGATGGATATCAAATTACCGATTGCGGAATTCAAAATTGAAAATAAAAATTAAAAAAAGGTTAAGGCCACGTTTGTTTGGGGTGGAAAATCTAACAGGGTAAACTTTACACCTGGTTTGATTTTACAAATGTTTGAAAAGAGTGTGATTTTACATTGTAAATCGGTGTAAAACTTATCTTTAAATTTGTTTATACCGATAATCAATTAAAATATACATCAAAATTGTCGATGTAAAACTAACATCTCTTTCCTATCATTTTTTCTCTCGCTAGCACCAATGCATCTCCATAAGGAAAACCCAGCAGCAGTAACAATATGAGATTTCAATCTCCCAGGGCGGATCTAAACCCCAAGGCGGCAGCGGCAATATGATCTCTCTCTCTCTCTCCTTCTTCTTCTTCCCCTTTTTTTCTTTCTCTGTTCCACTGCAATAAATGTGTGAACCCACCTCAGACCTTTCTCTCTTTCGTTCTCGCTCATTCTCTCTTCTCGTCCTCCTTTTTCTTCTTCTTCTTCCTTTGCTTATCTTCTCTTTCTGTGTTGACTATAGCTCCTGATGGTGCGCAATCCGGCTGGTCCTAGTTGTCAACGACCTTGCCTCTAAACGGAACTACAGGGAACCTGAAAACGGAGAAGATGAGGAAGCTCCGGGGGGAACCCGATATGAAGGCTCCGAAGCTCAAGTCATAATTCTTCAAAGGCAAGATAAAACCAGATGGCGCAAAGTTTGCATACCTCATTCTTGGGAGGTAGGGGGCCTTTTATAACCACCTTGCGCACTCCTGCCAGTTCAGATGTCATCCCCTCTGGCTGGGCAGAACCGCCACTGTTCCCTTTGTTGGAGCCGTCTCTGCGGCTGGTGACGATGGTGGCAGGTGGTCGTTTGAAGTGCGGCTGTCAAGTGTCAAATCCCAAGTCAATCAGGTGCGCCACCCTTGGATACGGACATCCTCGGTGTCAAGTATGGTACGTTTGGTCAGTCTGGCGTCCTGGAGGCAAAGTGCTAGAGTGGTGAGCGATATGGTCTTGAGTTCGGATAGGGGAGTGTCATGAACTGCCATGAGGCGGGCCAGTTCGGGTCACTGCCTTGTGAGGCTCGGGCTCTTTGTAGGGAGCTCGTGCTCCTAGTAGGGAGCTCAGGCCTCTAGTAGGGAGTTTGGGCTCCTAGTAGGGAGTTCGGACCGCTGGTTCCTTTGATGCTCGCGCCTTGGGCGCGCTGTTGTTCCGAGCTGTTTGCTTTTGCCACGTGGAGTGATTGCGAGGTTGGGCCAAATCTTCCTTCATCAATTGCCCCCCACTCCTCGCACTAAGGGTTCTGCCCTGGCGCGGGAAGTTCGCAAGGTGGCATGTGGATTTGTCCCGTACTTTGAATCTTGGCTCTGATAGCGCGAGGTGCGTTGTTAGGGTTCCTTGGGTTTCTTCGAGCGCCCAAAAGGCGGAAGACGTGCCGACCTGCCTACGAACGCTGACAGACGTGACGGTGCGCACTTAATTACAATTTAAAATTTAACTAAACATAATTAAAACAATACTTAAAATAGATTTTAAATTATAACTTACAATAATTAACGATTTGAAAATGTAAACATTTTTTAATAAATATAGTATTTTAATAAACACTATTAATTAATAAATACTACAATTATTTAAAACACTACAAAACATGGTTAATTAAAAATACTTCTAATAAATGATAAATTATTTTAAATAAATAATTTAAATTAATTAAAATTCAGTAATTGTTAAAATTATTGTGATTATTAAAAGTAATTACTAAAAATACTATGTTAATTAAAATGTTGTATTTATTACTATTTTGAATAAATACTAATGATTATTTAAAAATACTATAATTATTAAAAATATAGTTAATTAATAAATACATTATTTTTAATGAACATGGTTAATACTATTAATTAATAAAAATATTGTTAATTGTCATTAATATTGTAAATTTTAAAATACACTAATTATTATTACTACTCCCTCCATCCCTCTCTCTCTCTCTCCCTCTATCTTTTAAATGTTTTTTTTAAATATAATAATAACATGCATTAAAATAAGAGGCATTGGAAAACCCAAAGGTCTCTCTCTAATAGTGTGCAGTTTGATTAATATAGTCAAAATTGACAATGATTACTTGTTTATATATTTAAAATAAAATAAAATAGAAAAAATTGCAATAAATGAAAAAATAGATAAATAACTTTTCTCAATGTAAAAACATGCTAACATGAACCGTCCAATTTTATTTAATATATTACTAGCAAAGGGGGCCTTGCGTTGTAGGGGTTTGCTCATAAACTATTAGGCTCGAGCTCAATTTGAATTAAAGACTTGAGCTCAAGCTCAAGTTCGGCTCAAGTCAAAAGCTTGGAAGTTCGAGCTCGGCTACCTTTGATTGTAGGTCTCTCAAGCAGTTGAGGTGTCGAGTCGAGGTCTCCCTCAATTTCCAAGGTGCCAAATCAAGGTCTCCCTCAACTGTTGAACTGTCGAGCTGAGGTTTCCCTAGCAGGTGAGGTGTTGAGCTAAGGACTCCCTTAGTTGACAAGGTGTCGAGCTGAGGTCTCCCTCAATTGTTGAAGTGCTAAGCTGATATCTCCCTCAGTGACCGAAGTGCCAAGCCGAGGTCTCCCTCAGTGGTTGAGGTGTCGTCTAGCTTGAGCTTAGAAGTTCGAGCTCAACTCAGTTCGAACTCAACTACCTTTGATTGCGGGTCCCCTAACAGTCGAGATGCCGAGCTGAGGTCTCCCTCAATTGGAGAGAGAGTGGCATTCTTGTAATTTATAAGGAAAGAGAGAGATAACATTCTTGTAATTTGTAAGAGAGAGAGTAGCATTCTTGTAATTTGAAAAAAAAAACAAAAGAGAAAGAGTTGGTAGAGAGTGTCATTCTTGTAATTTATATGAAAAAGGCAAAAAGTACTGTTAGATTCCATTTCCCTCATCCTTAGACCTTCTTATGTACACATTTTAGCTTACTATATTTACAAGTCTCTCAAGCAGCTAAGGTGTTGAGCCAAGATCTCCCTTAATTTCCAATGTGCCAAATCAAGGTCTCCCTTAGTTGCTGAAGTGTTGAGCTGAGGTTTCCCTAGCAGGTGAGGTGTCAAGCTAAGGTCTCTCTTAGTTGACAAGGTGTCGAGCTGAGGTCTCCCTTAGTTGTCGAAGTGTTGAGCCGATATCTTCCTCAATGACCGATGTGCCAAGCCGAGGCCTCCCTCAGTGGTCGAGGTGTCGTCTAGCTCGAGCTCAATTCAAATTAGAGACTTGAGCTTGAGCTCAAAAGTTCGAGCTCGACTTAATTTGAACTCAACTACCTTTGATTGCGGGTCCTCTAGCAGCCAAGATGTCGAGCTGAGGTCTTCCTCGATTGAAGAGAGAGATGACATTCTTGTAATTTGTAAGAGAGAGAGAGAGAGAGAGAGAGTTGGTAGGAGATAGAGTGGCATTCTTGCAACTTGAAAGAAAAAAAAAAGCAAGAGAGAGAGAGAATTGGTAAGAGAGAATGGCATTATTGTAATTTCTATGAAAAAATGCACAAATTACTGTTAGATTCCATTTCCCTCATCCTCAGGCCTTCTTATGTACACATTTAAGCTTAATATATTTACTAGCGGAGGGGGCTCTACGTTGCAGGGGCTCCCTCATAAACTATCAGACTCGATCTCGATTTGAATTAGAGACTTGAGATTGAGCTCAACTCAACTCGAGTCAAAATCTCGAATACCTTTGATTGCATATCTCTCAAGCAGCCGAGGTCTCCCTCAATTGCTGAGATGCCAAACCGAAGTCTCATTCAACTACTGGAGTGTCGAGCTGAGCTTTCCCTAGTAGGCGAGGTGTCAAGCTAATGTCTCCCTTAGTTGACAAGGTGTCGAGCTGAGATCTCCCTCAATTGTCGAGGTGCTGGGCCGAGATCTCCTTTAGTGACCGAGGTCTCCCTCAGTGGTCGAGGTGTCATCTAGCTCAAACTTGATTCAAATTAGAGACACAAGGTGTCGAGCTGAGGTCTTTCTTAGTTGTCGAGGTGCTAAACCGAGATTTCCCTCAGTGACCGAGGTGTTGAGCCAAGGTCTCCCTCAGTGTTCGAGGTGTCGTCTAGCTCGAGCTCGATTCGAATTAGAGACTCGAGCTCGAGTTCAGAAGTTCGAGCTCAGCTCGACTACCTTTGATTACAGGTCCCCTAGTATCCGAGATGCCGAGCTGAGGTCTCCCTCAATTGGAGAGAAAGTGGCATTCTTATAATTTATATGGAGAGAGAGATGACGTTCTTGTAATTTATAAGAAAAATAGTGAGAGTTGGTAGGAGAGAGGGTGGCATTCTTGTAATTTGAAAGGAAAAAAAAGCAAGAGATAGAAAGTTAGTAGGAGAGTGTGGTATTATTGTAATTTGAAAGAAAGAAAAAAGCAAAATAGAGAGTTGATAGAAAGTGGCATTCTTATAATTTATAAGAAAAAAGGCAAAAAATATTGTTAGATTCCATTTCCCTTGTCATTAGGCCTTATTACATACACATTTCAGATTAATATATTTATGAGTTGGAGAGACTCTAAAGAGAGTCCGGATCTCCTTCTCACATTGCACATTGAGAACATCTTTCATATTTGTATTTATTATTAAGGGATATAGCTATGAGGTCGATGTAGACACGCTCCGTGAGGAACAGATCCCAAATTCCCAATTCTTTATAATAATTATTTAGATACTGGATTTGCTCCTCACACGCACATCCTATCATGCATTGGGATATCTCCCGTACTTATTTGTTATTATTCACGGGAGATGTTTCAATGCACAGTAGATGTACCTGTGAGGCGCCCATTGGTGAGAGTAGATCCCATCACCGCTATTGGAACGTGTCTTGTTGGTAGTAAATCCCAACTCAAAATGTGAGTTGATTATGTGCCACGTGTATAATTTTTGGGTTTCCACGTTTCAATATCATTAACAGTAATAGCGTCGTCCACTGGAATAAGAGTGGCGAAACATAGCCTAGGTGCTTCAATCCAAACTCTCGTGTATGTCTTGATTGTCTTCCCTCTCCGAGCACCCATGGCGGCTTCAATCCAAACTATCGTGTTTCAAACTCAGAGTGCTGTTTCGCATGGGAAGAATCCCGTTGCAACTAGTGTACTAAAAGCTACAAGAAAACGGAATCTAGGTTTCTCGGTTGATCTCAAACTCAAAGAGATCGGCAAACTGTCGAAATTCTCCGAAGGAAGAGGCCGCTTCACTGTCTTCGCAACTGCTGGCTCTCCTGGCAAGTTTCATGTTGTGTAGGAAAAAAGTTGTCTGGAAACCATTTTTAATGAAGTTCCTATCAAATATAATCTGATTTTTCTCATGTGTGATATGGATAGGAATTGCATCTTCTGGTGTCAGTGAAGACGCCATAAGTTCGTTGGATACGGTGGAAGTGTTTGATTTGAATGGAAAATCAATTCCAATATCTGATTTGTGGGAAGATAGGAAAGCAGTTGTTGCATTTGCTCGTCATTTCGGGTGATCATCTTTTGGTTTTTTGATTTCATGTTCTATGTTTTGGCAGAGAAATTTTGTTCTTTTTTGCTGCAACTTATTCAATCTGGTAATACCTTCTTAGTGCTTCTTTCTTTTCTGTCGACGCAGGTGTGTCTTTTGTCGTCGGCGTGCTGATTTTCTTGCTTCTAAGAAGGTAATGATGTAGAATCCAAGAGAAAATTTTTCGTCATTTTGTTATCAATTCATTTGAGAATAATAATTGATGTGGGCTTTTTAGATTTCCTTCTCCAATCACAACTTCCACTAGAGGGTTTTATCTTCAACTATGTTGCTATCAAAGAGAAAGGTTCATGATATCATTGAAATGTATATATCAACATTGAATGTAGTGTACTGAATGAATCTAAGAAACGACTAATCTACCTCAATAATTTTGCTCATTCTGCATTTTCACAATATGTTAAAAAACATTGCAATTTGAAATACAATCTTTGTTGGGTTGTGTAGAGAGTATGTCAATAACAGCCTAAGAATGTTCCTAGTAGCAATATGGCCTTCTGCTATTCTTATAATTCTTCAGTCATAGAGCAAATTTCAGTCGAAAAAAGATTGGCCTTACATCCAGAATAAGCCATCTTGGATGCATTCTTTAAGTTAAAAATAAAATATTTTTATGACTAATATCACCTGACAAAAACTCCACTACAGGGACGCTAAGGAGCTGCAATGGGCTAGGGAGTGCAAATCTGGACAGTCCAGGTCCCTTGTAGGCATGTGGCATGAGTAGTCAGGGCATCTAGAAAAGAAGCTTAATTGGCCTGATTAGGATACCTTTCTGGTTGTTTTCCCAATCATTTAGTTCAAGATACTCAAAGAACCCAGACTTAGGGGTCATTGCTTAGTGTAATTATAAAATCTTGGGCTGATAAGCTTGAGAACATGGGTTTGACTATGATCGAGGCCATTTTGCATGGAAATAAATAAAGGTTAGGTCCATATCCAGTCTACCCCTCCCAAAAATTGTTCTTACTACTACAAAAGTTCATAGAATTTTACTTTTGGTTACCTATATGAGGCTAAAACTCTGCCAACCATGGCTATGGATAATGGCGTTGTTCTTGTGTAGTGTGTTTATTGACTAAAAGAACTTACTGTGCCACTGGTAGATGTAATATTACTTCACATTTATTGATGTATGAACTGCAACTAGTTTACATGTTCTTTTTTAGAAAAATCAAAAGAACAGAAAGAAAAAGGAACATTTTTTTCATTATCAAGCCAGCATACTTGTAATTTTATTGGTTCTTTACAGGATAGAATGGATGCATCTGGAGTGGCTCTTGTTATAATTGGACCAGGTAGTGTCGATCAGGTATGCTGTAAAAATTTCACGAGTTTCCAACACATGCATGCTCAGGCGCTTCAATCCACATGTTAATGACCGTGTATGAAAATGATAATATGTAAACTGAGGTTTTCCTATGGCATTGTATGTACTGCCTTATAAATAGGTGAATTTGATGGATTTATTCCTTCACCCCAGAAAGGGGAAAGAAGGATTTGTTTTCCCTATTCTACAGAAGATAAAGTAATCTGTGGCTCTTGTAATAAAGTTGAGGGTTTTGGAAGAAGTATGTTTTTCTAATGGCCAAAGCATAGCTAACAAAATATTGTAACTATTAGCTGTTATCAGAATCATTTTCTGTATACATAACCTTTTATTTATTTATTTATTTTTACTTTAGACAACTAGGCTGATTTCTTTTGACAACTAGACTGATTTCTTTTATCACTGTTATGTATTATGATTCTAGGCAAAGGCATTTTCTGAGCAGACAAAATTCAAAGGAGGTATGCTTCTCAAAAAACATGGAATCTCCTGAGATACTACATGTGATTCATAACAGTTGGTGTTTTTAACTAAAACAAGGTGGGGATCAGTCTACAAGATTGTGCAAATTCTTAGCATCTTTAATTGATTATTAGGACATGTGTTAGAGATTAAGGGACTGTGATCCATCATTTGATAGATAACAAGGAGAGACCTAATTTGGCCAAACGGAAACCTCTTGGTGGGATAAAACCATCCCAACAATAATTTGTTTTTCCATTGTCCTTTATTCACCAAACATTATTTAACCCGGAAACCAGGTGAAATTCACTTTTTGTCATGTCCTGAGTTTTGCTTATGGACATCAATGGCTATCTTACATTCTAAAATCATCAGATTACTCAATTAGGCATCAGGGTTATGTATTCTCTGTTTCCATGGAAGAATGCCATTTGGTCATTCAGAAAATGCCTTGGGATTCAAGTCTTATTCAGAACATGTAGGGTGCAATTTTGGTTTGGATAAACCTGAAACCCAACTAACATTGGGCCCCACTGGGGTGGGATGTTTAGAAATCAAGTTGATGAAAATAAAGTTCAATCCAACCCAGTTTAGGATGAGTTGGGTAGGGTTGAGGCCTCAGGCACCTGACTCCTTATATACTTAAGTATTATATTTTATTATATATACATGTATAACGTATAAATTAGTATGTCCCTATTTATACCTTGAAGTATTGTTGAAATATAATTAAATTTTTATGAGACCTAAAATGTCATTTCAGGAAAAAATAATATAGGGATTTTTTTTTCACACATCTATCAGGCTAACCCAACCCAACCTGATTACAAAAATTGGGGTTACTTGGGTCATGTTGGGCTTGGATTGAGATCAAGGTTCCATTGCCTTGGTCTGGGCTTCGGTTGACCTCAACCTGACCCAATCCGGCTCAAATTGCACACCTTATCCACTGGCACTCTGTTGTTTGCTATAAAAGAAGTAATCGGTTGACCTCAACCTGACCCAATCTGGCTCAAATTGCACACCATATCCACTGGCACTCTGTGCTTTGCTATAAAAGAACTAATCATAGTTGATGATGGCACCATTTAATGCCAGCTTAGAAACCCAGAACAGGAAATAATTGTTGCATCTAAGAGCAGACTAGTAAGTAACCTAATTGCAACTCAGATAACTTTCAATCTTTTTCTGCCTTTGGAATTCTGTTGAAGACTTGGAAAAAGGCCATTTCTTGGCAATATTATCTCTTAGCCTTTCTCAATTTCTTACTATTATCATTTTCTAACCACTGTATCTCACTAACAAAATCTATTGTTCAATGCAGAAGTTTATGCAGATCCTAGTCACTTGTCATATAGGGCATTGAGTTTTGTTTCTGGGGTCTCAACAACATTCACTCCAGGGGTATGTAAGAAACATCAGTAGAGGGAAAAAATCAGATACATGAAACACATGCACATGTAAACTTCATTTTCAAAATTTATGGAGTCTGTGTTTATTGACTAAATCTTGGATCACTATTCGAATTACATTCATGATATTGTAGGCTGGTCTGAAGATAATACAGTTGTACATGGAAGGGTACAGACAAGACTGGGGGCTTTCCTTTGAGAAAGATACTGTGACAAGAGGTGGCTGGTATGTTAACTACCATAAAAATTGGAAATAAGTCCTTAAAATTAAAGATTCATACTCGTTACCTGATATAATAATAGAAAAAAAAGATACTGCTTTTCACCTATTTATCAAATGCTGCCAAAATTGTTTAAGAAAGTTTTCCTTAATGTGTATTTTTTTCTCATGATTGTGACACTTAATCAGGGGAAATTTATTAATTGGCATTTAAAAGTTTCATCTAGAAGTTGTCTTTATATCAGTTATTGCCGAAAAGATCCATGTGATTATATTTTCAGCATTTGTAAGATCTAGCTGAAAATAGATAGGTCAAAATATTCACAACAAATTTTAAGCTATTCCTGTTGCCTATAACATTTCATGTGATTGATCAAAACAACAACAACGGAAAGGGGAATGAAAAAGGATAGTTTCTTTTTATTGTTAGCATGTCATAGGGAGCATGTTCTTAACTACTCTACCTTTGTATTCATTTTATAAACAAATCTAGATCTAGAGACAGATAAAGCTACCCAACTTTGCTTTTTCCAGGCAGCAAGGAGGAATAATTGTTGCAGGTCCTGGTAGAAATAATATCTCATACGTCCACAAGGTTAGTTTTCCATTTTTCCCCTTTTCTTTCTGTTTCCTTTCTTCTTTCTGCAAGTACCGTTCTTACATTATGGGTAGTGACATTTGTCAGTTGTGAAGTTCAAATTCCACTTACAGTAATAGGCAATGTGGAGTTGTGGACATGTCTCTTCCATGTCAAATTTATAAATTGCAATAGCACAAGTAACAGATAAGTTAGAACATAAGAGAAGTAACAGTTTTTGCAGAGTAAAAGTGTCTCTTTTGTGCAGCACCTGAAAAGGTAATCGAGTTGAAATAATTTGGCTAGATTCATGCTCGGAATGTAAAGAATTGTTGACTATAATCAGACCCAATACAATTTGGATAAGGCTCTGTTTAGTGGCTTCATGGGGCTACACGACTGGGGAAGGGGGGGCCTATCACCCATGCCCATAAACTCCCCAACCTTTGATGGCAATGGGATTTGATCCCAGGTATCCACTACAACAAGCCAGAGAACCTACCAACCGAGCCACCATCAGTTGGTATCCTTGATGTAACACTTGTTCAAATACTTTTTGGGAATTGAAACCATCTTTTGTTCATGCAGCAGTGAATTAGGAAAAAGGAACATCCAGTAAAACCATGTCATAAGTCCATAACCCTGTAGTATACCATAAGTGAGTGCTCTTGCAATGACATGATTAAGGATTTCTCTCCAAACATGGGTTGCTCATGCATTATTCTTTGTTTTGCTTAAACAGGACAAAGAAGCTGGGGATGACCCGGATATTGAAGATGTTCTGAAGGCATGCTGCTCATAAAAAAACCACTCTTACATTTTAGTTGCTGAAAACTGTGGTGGAATTACTTATTGGTCTTCTTGATGTACAATATCATATCACATGACATGAAGATGCTACTTGTGGTTATGTATGTTTTAATTTTGTGAATTGTGATGATGTAAATTTTGGAACATTTTGGCTTTGGAACCTCTTACTTTCAAGTGATCCATTTTATCAAGCTGTATGACTATCTTGGTTTGAGAAATATCAGCCAGTAACCAGATATATACGTGCTCCATATAAACAATGGGTCATGGTGTATTAGTCTTCTACTTATTTGATTGTCCATGCTTCTCGTATGAAGTCTAATTGGATTTGACACGAAGATCATCTTACCAGTGTTCTACATAAGAGGGCACTTAACTATTTTTACCCCGTACAAGCATTTTATCTCTAGATAAATCTCCAAAACCCTTCAAAAGATAGATGGCTGATGGAGCTGTAAAGAATAAAAGAAGTACCATCTCAAAATCAAGGTTGCAGTAACTTCAATGCTTGTTGGGGCAAAAAAACACACACAAGCACGCATAGGAAAATAAAGGGCAATATGACAGAACGTGAAATAGAATGAAGGACTTTGCCATAATAATGATGATGATGATGATGAACCTATACCTTTTGTGTCCACTGCAACATAGGGCCCCCTCCGCTAGTTGCTTATTAAAGGGGATGCCCAGAAGGTTGTTCATCTCCTGTTGAACCTAGATGTTTTTTTTGGGGGGGGAGGGGGGTAATGGTTGAACCCAAATGTTGAGGTTACTTGGTTGTTACATTTTGTAATAGGGAAGTGCATGAGACTTTTGGGAAGCTTTACTTCTAGTTCTATTTCTTTTGTTTGTTGTACAGGTAATATGATTGCTCATGGAATTGCTTAGCTAAGAACGTATGTTCTTTGACTAAAAGTCACACTTGTCTATTTCCCCGCGTTTCCTTGGAATTGGCATCTGCTCTTGGCATACCATACTTTACACCGACCTCACACCTCACAGTTACATCCATCGTGTACTGGGAACATCTCCCATAAATGATAATATAACCGTGAGGCTGGTGATAGGAGCAGATCCGGACTAATTTCCTTGTAATTTTGAAAAATAATTCTCAATGTATTAGTCAATGGCTTTTCGAAGGCTCAGTTTGAAAAAGTATATATATATATATATATGTGTGTGTGTACAGTACAAATACATACATATTGCTCCAATTCTGTACTGGTCTCAAGCCACAAATACAATAGGCTTTTCCTATTGCTCCAATTCTGTACTTAGATGGTCTCAAGCCACAACAACAAGATGGATATTTCTCAATTGTTTCCAAGGATTTCAGAGTAAGCAAATTGAATTCCATCAATATGCTTTTCCCATATTAAGCTCCTTAACAAGATCTCAAATTAATTGTTGGGTTTGTGGATGCTAAATGCATGAAGCTAGTGGAGCTGCTATAACACCATACAACAGTCATGGTCTGAAATTGATAAGATTGAAAAATTGTGATTCTTTTCTAGGTCAGGTCGAATTTATACTTGAATAAAGGGAGAGAAATCACATGACAAGTTCCAAATATTGATTTACACAACCTTTTGGATTTATCAGTCATATTGAATCGGCAAACTTGAAGTCAGCTTGACTTAAGGGAATTAAGGAGTCAACTTTGGGAACCAATGGTTGATGACATATATAATACTGAAATCCCTTAGTGCTCATGCGACATCAAGCACAATAATAGGAGATTCCTCAAAAGTTGGATGTAGATGTACCCCCAACAATTTTAACTTCAAAATTCATTGCTATTAGAAGGTTTTAGCTACTTTGCATTTATTCTATTAGTGAAGGTGATTCTCTTCATCCACTACTGCTTCCAAAATATTATATCTATAATACATCAAACATCATATGTCTTATGGTATCTAATCTAATTGTTCACAGTCTCATTTATCCAAATGAGCTAAATTTCAGTCTCAGGATTGGAACCCTATAGCTTATAATAAGGATCTTATTTTCCTCCAAGGGCTAGGGAACACGGAAGAGTTTTGTTTCACCAAGGTAATTGTAAAAGTAGACTTAAAAAGAGTCTTATTGGGATTGCTGCCCCAACTCAACCCCTCTTCAAGGTGGAGCTGCCTCCTTCAAGAATGAGAGAGAGAGAGAGAGAGGTGATAGAAAGAAATCCATACTTTTTTCATTATTATCAGTTCTGTACATATTTTCTTTTATACTGATTCTTATTACATGTGACTAATTCCTCAACCAATTAACAAACTGTTGTCAACTTGGGAACTTGGTTCAGTTGTTCAATTAGTTAGGTTGTTGCTGATATATTAACTGCCATCTCCATTGTAGTGATACAGTGGACTAGACGTGATGTTCCTTGTTTATGTGGTTTCATAAGTTCAGTTTTTATTTCTTATTTCTTGCATTTATGCTTGCTTACTTGTACTATTGTAGGTAGCAGGGTATTTTTGTTATTTTACCTAATGTTATGTTGAATATATAAAAAATACTGCCTTGGGTGGCAATAAGTGATTTTCGCCCGCTCTTCCTCTACTCTCTTCTATCCTTTCCTTCCTCATTTTCTCTTCTCTTATTCTCTTCTTCTCTCTTCTTCTTCTTCTTCTTTGATTTCTGTTTTGTTTTGTACCCAGAAGTTCTGCTAACAACAATAACTTCAAGTTGGTATCAGAGCAGGTTTAGGTCTGCTCGTGAATCTCATGTAGGCTCTTCCCAGCTGGCTACATGAGAGTTTAATAGGACTGGAGTTCTAGTTTTATTCGTGGCCTGATTCTTGGAGATTGGTAGAGTTTGAAGCCTTGCCCAAGATGTTTATGTTCTTGGAGTTTTCCCAACAAACAAGAAGAACCAAAGAAAAGTTTTGAGGTGAGATTTAGGGTTTAAATCTCATATTGAAGGTGCCGCCCATAAATTTTTGGGTAGTTTTTTTTCTCCTTAACCCTCCAAAGGACTATTACTGAAGGGTGTTCTTTTTTCTGAAATCTCTGAGATGTGCGACTACCTTTTGGAGTTTACTGGACTGATTAGGGTTTTGAATGTTGCTCTTTTTTGAAACCTCTGAGAGGTGCGACTACTTTTTGAAGTTCATTGGACTTATTAGGGTTTCTGAAGGGGAGCCGAGTGTGGTTTTGTTATTCTTTGTGTTGGTTTCATCATGGAATTCTTTGGGGGGTGAACAAAAACCTACTAGAGAGGATGCTAAAAGGGCTGTTAGTATTATTGATAACAACCCTTTCCAAGTTACTACAACTAGGTTTGATGGTTTTAACTATTTGAAGTGGACTCAATTTGCCATGACGGCAATTGGAGAAAGGGGAAAGATAGGCTATTTGACTGGAGACACTAAGAAACCAGCCAATGATGACTCTTCCCATTCCAAATGGGTTCAAGAAAATTATCTTGTGGTGACATGGCAAAGACTACCAAGGATATTTGGGACAATATGAAAGAGACTTATTCATAGCCACTTGATGGGGCTAGGGCTTTTGAGTTGAAATTTGAAATTAACAATTTGAAGCAGGGGGAGAAACCCGTATCAGTTTATTACTCCACTCTGAAATTCCTATGGCATGAGATAGATCACCTTGAAACAATCGAGTGGGAGAGTAATAAAGATGCAGCAACATTTAACAAGTTGGTTGAAAGAAATAGAGTTTTTGAATTTCTTGTGGGTCTGAATTTTGATTTTGACATTGTTAGACAACATCTTTTCACTAGGAAAAATGTTACCTTGTCTCAAGCCTACTCTCTAGTATATAGTGAAGAGAGTAGGAGGAAGGGCTTCAAAATTATCAAACGGAAGTGGCATTAGTAGCTGTAATACACAAGTATAGCAATGAGAGGGAGAAAAAGATAAATAATGAAGGAAAGAATGGTGTGTTTTGTGAGTATTGCAAGAAACCTAGGCACACAAAAGACACCTGTTGGAAGCTTCACCCGAATCTTGTTCCGGAAAGACTCAGGAATAAGAAAGGGAATGCAAATGTTGCTATTACATTAGATGGTTCTTCCCTTCAGGGGCCTCGATCCACTTCTTTGGAGGCCAATGTTGCATCAAGGGCAGCATTGACTCAGTTGGATAATGAAGTTGGGCTTGTAGGATCATCTTAGTCTGTTTCTACTATTACTACACCTCATTCCTCCACATCAACATTTGCCCACTTAGGTACAAGAGCCACTACTTTTCATGCCACTATTCCAGGTAACACTAACCCTACTTGGATTATTGACTCTGGTGCATCAGATCATATGACAAATTTGTTTTCATTATTTACTTCTTACAACTTGTCTTCAAGTAGTGATAAAGTATCCATAATTGATAGCTCTCTTGTTCCCATTTATGGCAAGGGATACATCAGAATCTCTGATGCCATTACTTTATCCTTAACTTTGCATGTACCTAAGCTTAGAACTAATCTACTTTCAGTTAGTAGCCTTACAAAAAGCCAAAATTGCTCAATAACCTTCTTTCCTGACCATTGTATTTTCCAGGATCTTATGACAAGGAAGGTGATTGGGACTGGCCATGAGATGAATTGAATCTACCTGTTCGAGCACCCCCTGAAGTGATAAAAGAGTTGTGAAGTCTTTTGTTTTTTAGTCTATGAGTCAGATTATGATTTGGCATAATCATTTAGGTCATTTGTCTTTTGGGTCTTTGAAAAACTCGTTTCCTACTTTGTTTAAGTCAGTCCATATGTCTTTTTTAAAGTGTGAGAGTTGTGAACTTGCAAAACATTGTAGATCTTCATATTTTTTTAGTAATAAAAGAAGCAATACTCCTTTTGAAATTGTGCATACTAATGTATGGGGGCCATATCATATTCCTATTATGAGGGGTATAAGTATTTATTGTTGTTTGTTGATAATTACTCCCGTTTCTCATGGGTTTATCTTATGCGTTATAGATATGAGGTTCTTACCTTAACCAGTGCCTTTCATCAAATGGTTCTCACTCAATTTGAAGTCAGAATCAAAATTTTCATATATGATAATGCCAGAGAATATTTACTAAATGTTTGAATTCATATCTTCTTGAGTATGGAGTTGTTCATCAAAGTACTTGTTATCCTCATACACCTCAGCAAAATGGGGTAGCTGAGAGGAAAAATAGGCATATCCTGGAAATTGCAATAAGCACTATGCTGAATTCTCATGTTTCCATTCATTTTTGGGGGGATGCTATTAATACAGTTGTGTACCTCATCAACCGAATCCCTTCTTGTGTTCTGGATATGAAAACTCCTTTTCATTATTGTATCCTAAGAAAGATTTGTACACCACCCCTCTTAAAATGTTTGGGTGCACTTGTTTTGTTTAAATTTTAGGACCCCATCGTCCTAAGTTTGATCCTAAAGCTACTAAAGGTATATTCCTTGGCTATGCACAGAAACAAAAGGGATATTGCTACTATGGTCCTAGTTCTAGTTCTCGGTTTGTATCCATGGATGTTACATTTTTTTAGGATATCTCCTATTACTCAGGTGTTTTTTCTCAGGGGGAGAATAATGAGAAGGATCGTCATTGTCCCAGAGTTCCTCTACCTATCCCTATTCTTTAAGGAGAGTTGTGTAGTGAAGCTGCTTGTTAGAAGTGTAGGGAGTTGAGAGTTTATCACAAGAGGTGGAGGCAGGTTGATTTCGGTGCTCGTAACTAGTATAGGCCAATTCCTTTATCATCTGCAGTTTCAGATTCTGATATTTCTCCCTCCTTGCTTGTTGATGCATTACCCTCATCTTCTGATCCTCTCCCCCCTATGTATGATCTTGACCTTCCCATTGCAGTTCGCAAGGGAAAGCGTTGGTGCATTTCATTTACTGCCCATTGCATATCTTAGTTTATCACCTTTGATCATCTTTCACCATCCTATAAGTCATTCTTGGCATATATCTCAGCTACACATATTCCTAGATCTCTACAGGAAGCTTTTGTAGTACCTAAGTGGAAGAATGCAATGGAAGAAGAGATGGGTGCTCTCGTTAAAAATAAGACTTGGGAGCTAATTGACAAGCCATAAGGAAAAAAAGAAGCAATTGGACGCAGATGGGTGTTCACTATAAAGCATAATGCAGATGGGTCGGTTGAAAGGTATAAAGCTCGGCTGGTGGCAAAGGGGTATACTAAGACTTATGGCATTGACTATCTAGAAACCTTTGCACCTATTGCCAAGATGAATACCATTAGAGTTCTACTATCCCTTGTAGCAAATTTCTCCTGGCCTCTGTTCCAACTCGATGTCAAGAATGCTTTCCTTAATGGGGATTTGCAGGAAGATGTGTATATGGAATTACCTCCTGGTTTTTATGATGCTGCTATAGGAAATAAAATTTGCAAATTGCAAAAGGCTTTATATGGTTTAAAGCAATCTCCAATAGCTTGGTTTGACAGATTTAGATTGGCTCTTGAAAGGTTTGGCTATGTATAGGCCCACTTCGATCATACTTTTTTTATTAAGAGAAATGGTGCTTCTCACACCCTTATTGCATTGTATGTTGATGACATTGTTGTGATTGATTGTGATCCTGATGAGATTAATTCTCTTAAACAATTCCTTCATGCGGAATTTGAAGTGAAAGACCTTGGTGATCTCTACTATTTATTGGGAATTGAAGTGGCCCGCTCAATAAATGGTATCTTTATTTCACTAAGGAAATATGTCATTGATCTTCTTGAGGACACTGTGAAACTAGGGGTTAAACCCGCAGACACACCCATTGAGGTGAATCATAAGATAAGTGTTGAAGGGGGTGAACCTATTGAAGACAAAGCCATGTACCAACCACTAATTAGAAAGCTCCTTTATCTATGTCTCACTCGCCCTGACATCTCTTGTGCTGTTAGTGTGGTAAGCCAATGCATGCATTCTCCTAGAACAAACCATTTATTGGCTTTGAAAATAATCCATGCTTACTTGAAGAAATGTCTAGGTAAGGGAATACTCTTTAAAAATAATGGTCATATGAAAGTTGAGGTGTATACTGATGCTGAATGTGTTGATGATAGAAGATCAACTTCATGATATTTTGGCTTTTGTTGGAGGTAACCTTGTGTCATGGCGTAGTAAGAAATAAAATGTTGTTGCCCATTCAAGTGCCGAGGCAGAATACAGGTCTATGGCCTATGGTGTGGCTGAAGTGTTCTGGTTGAGATATCTTCTCGAGGAACTAGGGATTGAGTAGGAGAAACCGTTGAGGTTGTATTATGATAACCAAACTGCTATCAATATTGCTCATAATCCCATCCAACATGACAAAACTAAACATATTGAGGTTGACCATTATTTCATCCACGAGAAAGTTGATTCTCAAAATGTTTGTTTGCCCTATGTCGCCTTTGATATGCAACTTGCTGATCTCTTCACTAAAACAATCACTAGATTCAAATTGGAATCAGACTTGTGTAAATTGGGAATGATAAATATCTATTCCCAACTTAAAGGGAGTGTAGTGATAAAATGGACCAGACATGATGTTCCTTGTTTATGTAGTCCCTAAGTTCAGTTTTTATTTATTATTTATTGCATTTATGCTTGCTTACATGTACTATTGTAGGTAGCAGGGCATTTTTGTCCTTTTACCTAATATTATGTTGAACATATAAATAATATTGCCTTGGGCGGCAATAAATGATTTTTTCCCATCACTCTCTTGCTCTTGCTCTTCTTCTTCTTTGATTTTTTGTTTTATTTTGTACCCAAAAGTTCTGCTAACAATAGTAACTTCAAGTTCCATTACAAACGGTTGATCATTAGGTGGCCAAAAAGCATCATTTGATGGCTTGACATGGGCATGATATGTAACGTAATTGTTACCAGGTTTGTGCCATTAAAAGCTCTTGGATTTGGAGAAAACAGGAAGGCTGGTATGCAGGATCTTGTAATTCTAATGGGGTGAGGTAAGTCCACTATCTACCTATCTACCAATGTTGTCAAATTCGACCAAGCTGAATCATTTTGGGATTGAGTCACATATCAAATAGTAACCATATTTTTTTTTGTAGGAAAACAAAAATAAAATTTGCCTACACATGAAGACAAACACACACACACAAAACGTATATAGCAAAGTAGATGGAACGTTACCTAGAAATGAAGAGGTTAGGACTCTCTCTTAAAAAAGAAAATCCAACAAGTGGCAAAATGTATAGAAGGCGACCTGAAAACAAAGATATTAGGATTATCTCTCAAGGGAAAACCGGACAAACAACAAAGTAGACCGAAGGCAATATAAATGAAATGAAATGAGATCTAAAACAAAATGAAGTAAAACCTAAAACAAAATCAAATCAAAATTTGCATTCTTTTCATTTGCACTCCCATGCTCACTGCAACCAAACACGGCCTAAAAAACAATTTATGGACTTGTAGTTGCAGGCAAGTGAAGTTTGGAAATATCATATTGTAATATATACACATATAATATATAAAATAGCATATGCATAGGTAGGCCGGGTCCAGGCCCGATCCGAACTCGAATAACTAGGTCCAAGCGGCGAAGCCTGGAATTTCTGGGCCGGGCTGTCCACTCACGGCATGGGAGTCACATGACTCGCATCTGTGAATGGCCCATCCGAGAGCCCGAGAGCCCGAGAGCCCTTACCTGGTATATACACTTGACAGACAGCACTCACACTCAGAGGCCAGAGCAGGATCAAGTCCCTTTTCCCGCCACTGCATCTGAGAGATTTTGATGGCGGACAAGAAGAAACGCCGTCGAGCTGATCCCAGCTCAGATGATGAAGAAGATTATGGAGGAGGAGGACGCAAACCCCTCCCCTTCAAGAAACGCTTGAAGGCTGATTCCGTTATCCTGTCAGAGCTAAAAGATCTTACCGATTCCTTTAGGTCCAGCTCTACTTCTGAGAAAACCCTAACCCTCTCCGACCTCGATCTTTCCTCTACCTGCCGCGAAGTTTGCGACCTCGACCTCTCCTCCGTCCAGGACACCATCGAACGCCTTATCCTCCGTGTTGCCCAGTCAATCCTTTCCGGCAACGGCTTCGCCTTTGACGTCCCCGCCCGCGGCAACGCCAACCAACTATACGTACCCGAACTCGACCGTATTGTTCTCAAGGACAAGACCTCACTCCGCCCTTACTCCAACGCATCCACCGTTCGTAAAACAACAATTACAGCTCGAATTCTCCAGCTTGTCCACCAGCTCTGCATCAAGAGCATTCATGTCACCAAGCGTGACCTCTTCTACACGGATGTCAAGCTTTTCCAAGATCAAACGCAGTCTGACGCTGTACTTGATGACGTTGCTTGTATGCTTGGATGCACCAGGTCGAGTCTCAATGTGATCGCTGCGGAGAAAGGGGTTGTTGTTGGAAGGCTCATTTTTAGCGACAATGGCGATATGATTGATTGTACCAAGATGGGGATGGGTGGGAAGGCAATTCCTCCGAATATTGACAGGGTTGGCGATATGCAGAGTGACGCCCTCTTTATTCTTCTCGTGGAGAAGGATGCTGCTTATATTAGATTGGCCGAGGATCGGTTCTATAATCGCTTTCCCTGTATTATAGTTACTGCAAAAGGGCAACCAGACGTGGCAACGAGGCTCTTCTTGAGGAAGATGAAAATGGAATTGAAGCTTCCTGTACTTGCACTTGTGGATAGTGACCCCTATGGATTGAAGATTCTATCGGTATATGGTTGTGGATCCAAGAATATGTCGTATGATAGTGCGAATCTGACCACACCTGATATTAAGTGGTTAGGGATCAGGCCAAGCGACTTGGACAAGTATAAAATACCTGAACAATGTAGGTTGCCCATGACAGAGCAAGATATTAAGACTGGGAAGGATTTGCTAGAGGAAGATTTTGTGAAGAAGAATCCAGGATGGGTTGAAGAGTTAACTTTGATGGTTAAGACTAAGCAAAAAGCTGAGATTCAGGCCTTGAGTTCATTTGGTTTTCAATACTTGTCTGAAGTGTATCTGCCGCTGAAGCTACAACAAAAGGACTGGTTATGATTAAGTGGGAAAAAGAGACTACTGGTACTTGTTTTACCTGTTCTCCTAATGCACGAGAAATAAGAAATCATCAGTTATGTTTTTTTTTTTTTGTAATTCTGTCTGTTGCAGTAGAAGTGTATCAATTTCCATTGCTGTCATCATACTTGTTTTTTCCAATTGGGGGACCAGGGGATGGAATGGTTGTTTATGACCTGTTTAATCATCTTACATGTATTTTAGTAAAACAGATCAGACCATAGTTAGTAGCTTCATTTGGATATTCAGATACACAGAAAGACATCTCAAAGTAGTGCTGTATTGCATTCAAGAATAGTTCCTTCTCATGCGTGTCCATGATTGCTGCAGTACTTAGGTTTGGCAGTGCCACAGTATAGTAGGATGTGTCCGGTTATATTCTGTGCCATGTTTAAAAGGGTTCCAATTTGTAATATCTATACATTGTTTACAATGCTATTCATCTAGCTTGGATAATGGGAATCTGCTTTTATGATGTTCAGGTTCTTGATCCCAATTTGATGGTTTGAACAAAGTCCAGAACAAAACCAATTAGCCTTCTCATTCATCATCAACTTGTTGCTGATGGCAGTACTTATATAGATGAAAAGGATCAAGATCAGTAAATGGAAATTAGGATAATAGGACCCTAAGATTTTTACTGGAAACTCAATCTGGCCTTTAGACCCTTAAACTGCAGATTTACATGCATAGCACATTAAGCAGCAATTCAATCTATCAGAGATTGTGTGCAGTGCATCTTGAACTTTCAGGGTTCCAGCCCCTAGTTTCAAGGCATTCAGTTTGAAAACCAGTCATTTATAAGTTATCATATGCCACACCGGCTTTGATGGTGGCTCCATATCAATAATACATGATGGATTTTCCCTAGGCTATTCTTGGTCACACTGCTGCACATACAAATGCATTTTGCATTCTAATACAGCTTAATCATCTTAACAAATTAGATGGCAAAGCATGCATCATGTGCACCTTTCTTTCTATTTTTTTCTATATGCAAGAGTTTGTTTGACTGTCTAGCTACAGTTGTACATGCACTGTTCCCTTAAACGATAGTCACAAGATCATATTAATTTTGTCAATTAGTTTTCTCCTGCCAATGATGAATGCTCTAAAGAGCACAAATAGAAATATACAGTCTGCATTCTGTCATTGAGTGTTTCTCTTTCATTGCCTTTCAGTATCTATGCCACTCAGTATTTTAACAGACTTTTTATGGGTTTTATTGGGATTTCCATAGCATGGGTTTTCCAGCCAATGATGCCTTAAGAAAATGCTGCATAAATATTTCCTGTAAATTTGCCAATAAATTATTCAGTGCTGTTAGCAAAATGCTCTCATTAATCCATCTTTTAGAAATCTTAAACATGCATTTATTTCTCCTATTGAGTTTGATAAGATGTTGGGTCCTTAAATCCCTTTCTCTTGTGCTTGATTCTTCAAAGCCCTGGTTAATACTCCCTATTCCTTACCTCCATTTCTTGTTAGAGCCCTTTGGGTTGGTCCTGCTCCTAAGGTTAAAGCATTTGTTGAGAAGCTTTCTTGAAGATCATCAACACAGATGAAATGCTCCAGTGTAGATAGGCAAATTGGTACCTATCTCCTCACACATGCATCATCTCTCTAAGGAGTAGAGAGAATGTTCCACCTTTCTGTGGCAGTACACTAGAACAGCCCTTCTCTGGAGTGCTTGTAGTGAGTGCAATTCCAGAATCAAAAGAAGTTACAAACACCATTGTTGATCTTAATGTTGTAAGAGAAAGAGTTATAAAGTGTGCGTTGACTAGGAAAGAGTTGAAAGGCATTATGGTGGGCTCTATTTTAAAAGGATGGTCGACAGTGGTGGGCTTCCCTGATCAAAGATGGGTTACAAGTGACTTCTAGACCTTGTGAGGCACCAGTGATGATGCATAAAATTGGATTTTGACAGCAGCTTTATTGGCAACCTGGGGCTGGGAAATCAAGTTTGGGGGTGTTTTCAAAGATCATGCAAGAAATATTCTGATAAGCTTTTCAGATCATGCTGGAGTTGGAAACTCTTTAAGAGCCAAACTTCTTGCAGTGCTCCAAGGGCTAAGTTAACTTTCAATGTGGGCTGGAGTAGATGACTTGTAAAAGACAACTGTCAGATGTCAGTAGGTTGGTTTCTATCAGGAAAGGAAGGATCATGAACCCTAATATTTCTGATTAGAGAAGTTAAAGTTTTGGCTTCAAACTTGAATTACTTGTTTGGGTGGATTCCTAGGCTTTCCAAAAGCTTTGCTGACAATAGGGAAGGTGTCAATAAAGATGACCTTAAAATGGAGGATGCTAACATGTAATTTTTCCAGTTTCTTCATTATTTGTTTTGCCAACTGAACAGCTCTTGGTGATGGAAGACCTACATCCTTTGGAGAGTAGGCATTGTACTCTCTAGGTCTCTTTCTTTCATTTTCAGTAAAGGATTATCCTTGTTGCTGATGAAAAAGTGCTAGCTAAACATTAAGTTTCAGAGAGATGTTAATAGGCAAAATTTGGATGCACACATTTATATTGGCTGCCCTTTAGGGAAAAAAAAAACAAAAAGCATTGCAAAAGAGTGTGTTTAGGGACTATTGCTGTGTGATACTGACCATCTATTCTGTGCCTACCTGTTAACTTTACTAGAGCTGAGGTGTTAGCAGTATTGCAAGGATTAAGAATGGCTAAATTCCTTAACTACAATAATATCGTGGTGGAGGGAGATTCTAAGGTGGTGGTGGAATGGGTTAAAAACAAAGGACCCTTGATGTATAGGCACATCATAAGAGAGGTAATGCAGCTGGATAGGAAAATAGGAACATATTGAATTGGGTAAAGAGATTAGCCAATGGATTGGCTTACACCTTAGCTGCAAGGGGCTCTTAAACATGAGTTTGTGATCGAGTTTCTCATAGAGATTGAATTGTACCTTGAAAGATAACAATTGGAATGAGGGTAGGTAGTTTCGACTAGCCTACTAAAAGAAGGATTCATTGGTTCCCTTTATGACTTTGTAAATCAATTATTCATTTATATAAAATCAAGATAGTTCAGTTACCAATATAAGAAACTGTAAGAGCCAACTGGTAAAACCACTTTCATCCTTTTTTTAACTGAAATAGAAGAACACAAGGGAAAGAAGGAAAATCAGTAAAAGAGTTGTATTCCAATTTCAATATTTGCATGCTACAATTAGGCATTAGCAGTGGGCCTTCATTTTTACTGTATTTACATCATAACTATTACAATGAGGTGAGGTATTCTCTTTGTAATACCTAGAAAATCAATATAAATACAAATATGCATGAGTGGTATTATACAGACATTGGCTTTGTTACTTTCTGTGGTTCTTACCTTTTAATTGTACCGACTTTTCTGTGTAACTGTAACCAATGATACAATGACTTCCTTGTGACCTTTAACATGTGTAGAACCACAGGTTGTCTGGTCAAAGGTTCACATTCCATCAGCAATCTGTTCTTTTTAGATTTGTATGATCTGGATCTTAAGCTGAAAGAGATTGCAACATCATTTCTAATAAATGATGCTCTAGGTCCTGCAACAATGATATCAAGCTCCATTTCATCTTGAAGAAGTTTGATCATACCAACATCACCTAGTTTCAAGGAAGGGTTAAAAGACTTGTGGTTTAAGCACACCTTTCTTAGTTGAGGAACATCCGGTTAATTTTGATAGATAAAAACTTCTTGTATGTATACGTATCTGTACTTTTATGCAGATGTTTCTCTTTTCTTTCCTTAGTATGTTTCCCTATGCCTAAATGCCAACATACAAAGGGATATCTCTAATATCCTTTTTTTTTTCCTTTTGAGAAGTTAAAAGGCATTTATAATCTCTGTTACAGTAAGCATCTTATAAGTAATAATCATCTACCTTGAAAGGCTTGAATGGTTCTCTTTGATCATCCACATAACTGCAAGAATGGTAATCCGAGCTTCAACCTCTCGAGACATGGAAAGATTTGAGAACAAGAGGAAAACAAAAATAATTAAAATGGCTGTTTTTAAACAAACCTTCTAGCATGTCTTTAAGTAAACATGTCTGGCTATTTCTGTGATAGTATTGTTAGTAAAAAAAACCTTGGGTCCGTTTGGTTTGCAGGAATAGGAGTCTGGAATCGGAATGGGTTATTCCGATTCCAACTGTTTGGTTGGGCGGAATCGGATTCCCATTCCCATTCCTGTTGGAATGGCATTCCCCCATTTGAGGGAATGGCCATTCCCTGCCCCTCCCTTGAGAATGAAATCCCATTCATGCTGATTTTAATTCCCATTCCCATTCCCGTCTGAACCAAAGAGACTATGGACCATTCCGATTCCGATTACGAACTAAACGGACCCTTTATACTGTCTCATTCAGATACAGGAAATTTTGTAGCCCTATCTATCATTTCAATAGTGTCTCTATTCTGTACTGTTTAAGTCATACCCATAAGAATCCGTACTTCAAATCGTAAAGAGAACTTCGGCATCCCATATTGACACAGCAGAACATGGATGTGTATGGGTTCTGGGTGGTATATGGCTAAGCTGTACCTAGATATGGCATTAACATGCATGAGTATACAATTTTCTTCCCGAAATAACCCCATTACTCATACACCTTAAACCTAATACTCCAACATTTTGCAAAATGCCTTCATTATTTTCACATTCAAAAGAAGACAGTTGATAGCTATAACTTTGTTGGTTTGTCAAATATAAGAATTGCCTTGGATTAGGTTCTTAATTGCTTCACCCAAAGGTTAAGTCAATTCATTGTGGCAGTTGATTTTATTGGCGGGTTACTTAAATTAAATTTCATCCTTTTATAAGTATTCTTAAAATGAAACTTCAATTATGTTAGATATTTTTATTTTATTTTATTTTCATATTTTTTCCTACGGTCCTAGATATTTCAATTGATCATCAGTAACTTCACTCTCATATTTTCTCCATTATGTGGAGTTATATGGTTGACCTCTCTCTTTTTTGTTTTACATCTTCTATTTTTGGTGCAAAAATGATCGTTTTATCAATCTTTCTTTTTAAATTTATTTTAGGTTGTGTATATTACTTATTGTAATGGTAAAATCTCAGGCTGTCAAGCATGAAAATGTGGGTTCGAGTCTGAGAGCAACTGCAAAAAGTGCCAATACTTGGGATACCCTTTAATTAAAACCACTCCATTTGAAAACCTCTCCATTTTCAAAGGACATGAGCCCTCAATTTTTTCTTTTTCGAAAAGAATATCAACTAATGGGGTGTTCTACAATGTGAATTGTTTTTTTGTTGTTAATTCAAAAAATAAATAAAAAAACAGATTGTTTTTCAAAACAAAAACACAAACAACATGTTTGTTGTATATGTATTTTTATTTTCAAAGCTGAGATAAAAAAATATGTTCTTGAATTTGGTTTCAAAAACATGTTTTCATCTAATTATTTATAATAGAATATGGATATGTCTCGATCCAGCCCTGTTAATTATGTGAGTGCATCCAAGGTTGCATTTATTTTCGGTGTACTGTCATTGATGGAGTTCAACACCGATGTGTTAAAAATGAGCGAACCATTGGAACTTTTTAAAGTGTAATTAAATCGATTATCGATATAAAACTCAATCGTGTGTGAGATTTGCACCAATTTTCGAAAACAAATGCATGAATGGAGTTTTACACTGATCCGTATCAATGAAAACAAACACAGCCAATGGAAATCGGGGCAAATCACTCCATTTAAATTCTCTACATTGTACCGTCGCCGGACAGGAGCTTTCGGACCAGCATGGGCCTGGGTCCGGCCTACTTTAAAGTTTAAACCATTCATTCTATTTACTAACACCAGCCCAATCCAGCCCAAAGGCGAAAACCATTGCAGGAGTCAGGACCATGAGGACATCCTTGGTAATATAATTTCTGATCGAATACACCACGGTACGCACATGGTTGGCATTGCAATACCCAGCCCGATTTCATCAAAGGAGGTATTCTCCCTGCAACTCTTAATTCTTAACATACGAACAAATAAACGCATGAGTGGGAGGGCGAACTGAGAAAGTGGGATCGCGTTCCATTGTGAACCTAAACTTCACTTTGAGTTGGGTAAAACCCTCTCAGGGGAACAAAACCCTAAGTCGTTGTAGAGATTATAATTTGTAGCAAAGCCCATCTCAGAGTGAGACTTACGTGGATCTGAAAATCGCCATTGCTTGTTCAATCAGATACAGAGTAAACAGACAGAAGAGAGAACAGAGAAAACGAAGAACAGCTCTAGTGTTACGGGTGTGTTTTTTGTTGGGGTGCTGATCAGAGATGCCTCCAAAGCAGCCCTCTAAAGCCGAGATAGCGAAGAAGCAGAAGATTGTCGAAGACAAGACCTTCGGACTCAAAAACAAGAACAAGAGCAAAAATGTCCAGAAATACGTTCAGAGCCTCCAACAAGCCGTACAACCCAAATCAGACCCCTCTAAGGTCGCCGCAAAGGTACGTTGGTTCCTTTTATTTTTTCATCTACCTCTGCGGCGAAACCCCTATTTCCTTTATTCTCTATTTCTTTTTTATATGTTTGATGCTAATGTTGCCGATGGATGCAATTGCTTACAAAATTAATTCGATGAACAGAAGAAGAAGGAAGAAGATAAGGCCAGAGAGAAAGAGCTGAATGATTTGTTTAAGATTGCTGTCAGTCAGCCAAAAGTTCCAGTTGGTATTGTCTTCTGTGTTCTGTCAGTAGGCATTCGAAGTCACACGGCATCAAATCGTCGAATTGTAGATTTTCTTATCATTTGATTAGGATTCGCTATTGAAACGTTAACTGAAATCGAAAATAAGTTAATCTTCTGAAATACTAAATTTTAACGCCCTATGACATATCCGTTTTAAGCCGTGCATGCATGTTCCAAGTTCTAGCTTTTGGAACTTTAAAAAAAAATCTATTCTACATGACTCCAGCGAGTGATTTCGGATTTTCGGTATCTTGTGAAGCTTCTGCATTTATGCTTGTTTTTGAATTCGTATGTATCTCATTGACATTTTCTCATTCTCAGGTGTTGATCCCAAGTCCATATTATGCGAATTTTTTAAGGTAGGGCAGTGCACCAAAGGTTTCAAGTGCAAATTCTCACATGACCTGAATGTTCAGAGGAAGGGTGAAAAGATTGACCTTTACAGTGATAAACGTGATCAAGGTGATATAATATATGCCATTGTTTGTTCATTTGTTTGTTTCTGTTTTCATTTTTTTGTTTCTAATTTTGTTATTATATCGTGATTTCGGTGCCTGACTTCTGTTCTTTTTCCCCATTTGTTCTCTTTATGTTTTCTTTTCCACTACGCCTGGTTAAGAAACAATGGAGGATTGGGATCAAGAGACACTTGAAAAGGTTGTGGAGTCCAAGAAGAAAGAGTATAACCAGAACAAACCTACTGAGATTGTAAGCTTCCGTCTATCTACTTTTATTTGTGTTTCTTCCCTTCTATGTTAGTTCGTTTTTCAATCCATGGTTTCACATTTACATTGTGGAACAAAAAATATTATGTAAGTTGGTGTATTCAAACGGCTATTGCAATTTCAGAATTCAGATGTTGCTTTTGTATGACATGTTGCCATGGGTGTGGGGTAAAAGAATATTTGCCCTTAAATATTCTTTTAGCCAAAATGACAAGCAAGGGACTGAATGTGGCAACGCGTCATGTGGAGGAAGCTCCCAAACAGCCCAGGGGATATAGAAGTTTTGAACAGAGTTCTATGAAGAACATGTGGATTTTAATTTCAACCCCAAATGACAAAACCATTTAGTCCAGATCATGAGAAATGCCAATGCCTTCAGCGGATATAGAGAAAACACCTTCTAAATACTCCATTTAATTTAAGTCTATTTTGGAAACTAAAATTTTAAAAGATGCCTTAAGAATGATAAGGCAAGCGATGTAGGAATTGGAGAACTTCTTTGTAGTTGTTGAATGTCACGAGCTTTATTTGATATGGTTTCATTTAGAAAATTGAGCTGGTATATAGAGTTTTGTATTCTGAAGTGATTATTGGGGTTCTAACGGAGTCCTTGCCTGTGTTCATTCAATGATAAAAATTTCTTTGCCCCTTTTCAAAATCCCTTGAAAAGCATCTACATTCTACAATGAGTTTGACATTGCTATAGTAACAACTTTTTTTGGTAATTAGTTTTCTTTGTTGGAAATATGGCTATTTGCGCCACTACTTGGACAAAGGAGCATCCATGTAGTTCTCCATTACTTTTTGGAAATGCTATATTCATGTAGCTGGCTCCATATAATTGAGATAAGGCTCTGATGTTGATGATGGTGTAATGTGGTTTATTTTCTATCCTGAGCATTTTATCCATTAGCTTGAATGGGTGACAATCATAGGCAAGTAGGCATACGATCATAGACATCTTATACATATTTTGTGTGACTAGGGTTGATTTTTTTTGCAGCTTCATTCATCAGTTCTTCTGAATATGAGCAGGTCTGTAAGTACTTTCTGGAAGCTGTGGAGAAGAAACAATATGGTTGGTTCTGGGTTTGTCCAAATGGTGGCAAAGATTGCCATTACAGACATGCTCTTCCACCAGGATATGTGCTAAAGTCTCAAATGAAGGCTCTCTTGGAGGAGGAGGCCGAAAAGATATCTGTTGAGGAAGAGATTGAAGATCAGGTAATAATTGCAATATACAAATTTAGCCTTTTTTCATTGCCTGCGGCCTGCCATATTGCAGTAAGAACTAAGAACATCTTTTATTTTACTATGAATTTGTGATCTGGTAGTTTCATATTGATTTGTTCCTGGTTGTTAGCGTGCAAAAGTAACAGCTTCAACTCCAATGACCGCTGAGCTGTTCATGCAATGGAAAAAGAAAAAGATGGAAGAAAGAGAGGCTGGCCTTGCAGCTCAACGGGCAGAGAGGGCTAAGAATGACCGCATGAGGTATCTCATTTCTTTTTTTTTTTTTTGAGAAACGTTAACTGAAATTATTAAGAAAATAGAGGGGTACACAAGAGGGTGTACAAAGAAGACAAACGAACAGGGACCAGACCCCTGAAAATTACAGAGGAGGGATCATATCAAATACAGCACTTCTAAAAGAGCACCTAATTTTGCTAACCCATCCGCAAGAGCATTAAGATCCCTTGGAATCCAGGCTCCAGCACAGGTGTAAGCTTGTAGCTACCAGTAGATCCCTTGCCCCTGTCAGAAAATGACTGAGTCTCCACGGCCCAGCCTCCTGTCTTCCTAACCACTTTATAGTGTTTGCTGAGTCTCCCTTTATGGATAGATGCTGAATGCCTAGTTTGCTGATTAATTGGATTCCTATAAGTGCAGCCATCACTTCTGCCTTTGTAGAATCAGCTATACCTATTGGTCCGCTGTACACCCAGCAAGTGTTCCCGTTTTCATCCCTTCATGCTCCTCCAATACCAGCAGTTCCGGGGTTACCTGAAGCACTTCCATCGAAACTTAGAGTCCAAGTTCCTTCCCTCCTGGGAAAGGACCTCCTATGGATGGGGAAGAGGGGTGGGGGGATGAGAAAAGGAGAAAACCAGCATCCCTGTTTAGGTCATTTATAGAGACTCCTTTAAACTTGTCTGAACTGGAAGCCCATTGATTACATGGATGATGTGAGAGATCAGACCAGCCTCTGTCTTAGGTGGTGTTTGATAAATCTAAAATTTGAAATCTGAACAGCTAAATAGATATTAAAAGTGTCTGAAATCTGAAAAGAGAGTTTTTTTTTTGACTTTTTAGAGGCTCTGAATAAAGAAGGTTGTTTGTGTTGGATCAAACCTCTAGCATATGAAATTCACTAATTTTACTATTTTACCCCTAAATTAGACTATTCAATAAATTTGAGTTCAACTTGTACTATTTCATAAAAATAATTTATTAAATTCAAAATATTGAAAAATATGAATAAATTATACAAATAGAAAATTAATTTATTAAAATAAGAAAAAAATGAAAATACATATAAATTTATAAATTAAAAACAAATTATTAAAAGTTAAAATAATCATGAAAATAGTAATGAAGTCCATAAATCAATAAAAATATTTAAAAATTAGAAAAATAATATCTTAAAACTATTAAAATATTTAATAATTAATAAAAATTAAAATAATTAATACAAATAAAATCTACTCAGTGAAGAAGAAGAGAGAGAGAGAAGGTCGGAACTCACCGCTGCTGGTTCGCCGGAGGAGTCACTTGCCGCCACTGTCGAGAGTTGCAGCGGCGATCGAAAATGAAAAACAGAGGACGAAATCCGCGGGACCACAGAGGAGGAGGAAGACGAAAAAATAGAGGCCAAAACTCGTTGCCGCTGGTTCACTGGAGGAGTTACTTGCCGCTGTTGGTTCGCCGCTGTGTCAAGTGGAGAAGATGAACGGTGAGAGGGAGAAACACAAGCATGTTTTTAAGGGTGTTTTGGACTTTTGACCAGGTCTGAAACACATCTGAACGCGTTCAGCGCTTGGCTCAGGTCTTGTTATTTTAGATCTGAGTTCAGCGCTTGGCTCAGGTCTTATTATTTTAGATCTGAAAATAATTTCCAGACCCAAATTTAGATACACTTCCAAACACCTCTGACGTTTGAAAAACAACATTTTCAGACTTCAGAGGTCTGAAAAGTGTTATCAAACGCCACCTTAGCCTTATTCTCAAGCAAGCGGTTGTTCCTTTCTTCCCAAACTCCCCAAAGTACAACTTGCAGAATTATTTGCCAATATACCTTGCCTCTTTTACTCAGTCTTTTTCCTTGCCATTGACGGAGCAAGTCCTGGAGGTGGTTTGGAGCAACCCAGCTGTACCCAGCTAGCTGTAGAAAACGGCTCCAGATGTCCCTGGTTTCCTGACAGTGAATGATGAGATGGTTGGTTGATTCCCCTTCTCTTAGGCAAAGGATGCAGACATGAGGGGAGATGAAAAGTCTGCCAAAATTCTTCTTTTGCAGTAGCTCACAAGTGTTTATCCTGTGCAGACAGGCCTCCCATACAAAGAAACACACTCTAGAGGGGATGTAGTTGCACTAGACCTTCTTGAAAGGGAAGTGATATTTATGCTCCTGTGCAACCAGAACCTTGAAGAAAGAATTGGAGGATAATTTGCCTACAGGGTGAGGTTTCCAGACATGGGAGTCTAGGGAATTAAGGGAGATGTAGACTTCTTTGAGGGAGAGGAGGAGTTCAGTTAACTCATTGATCCTTGAATCCCTTAAGGGTCTTCTAAGGCTCAAGTTTATGTTTCTCTCGGTGGGGGAAGAGGGGAGGCATTGGGAGATGGTTGCTTCTTTGTTTAGGGTGAGGTTAAAAAGTCTAGGGTAGGAAACTGCTAAAGTAGTGTTGCCCCACCACAAATCAGTTTAAAATTTTATTCTAGTACCATTGCCCACTTTAAATCTTATGAAAGGAAAGAATTTGTTAGAGGTTGAGATGATACCTTTCCAAGGACTTGATGAAGTTACATGGTTTGAATGAAGGTTGTGGTCCCAACCATTGGTGTCCAACCCGTACTTACTGGTGATGACACCTGCCCAAAGAGAGTTTGTCTCTTTAGGGTATCTCCACAACCATTTTCCAAGTAGAGAAGTGTTTTTCTCTTTTAGGTGACCAATTTCCAGCCCTCGCGCCTCTTTAGATTTACAAGTCTGAGCCCAACTCACTAGATGACTTCTTTTCTCCCCTCCACCATCCCAAAGGAAGTCTCTTTGAAGTTTCTCAATCTTTGTTCTGATTTTGCCAAAAATTTGGAATACTGAGAAGAAATAGGTGGGCAGATTTGCAAGGGAAGTCTTAATGAATGTTAGCCTTCCCCCTTTTGACAGATAACATTTGTTTCCAAGCAGCTAGCTTCTTTTCACATTTTTCCAACACCGGCTCCCAAAAACTTGGACTTTTTGGGTGCCCACTCAGAGGCAAGCCTAAATAGGTTAGGGGAAGGTTTTCCACTCGGCAGTTCAGAATTTCCTTGAACCTTTCCACAAGAGCTTCTTCAACTGAATTGATTGTCACCATACTACTCTTTGTGAAGTTAACCCTCAGCCCGGTGACTTGTTCAAGACAGTTTAGAACCCTTTTCACATTAATTATGTTCTCCAGATCAGCTTCCAAGAGTAGAATAATATCGTCTACAAATTGAAGGTGGGAAATGTTGAGGGCACCTCTTCCTCTACTTCAAAACCTTTTATTAAATTCAGATTTTTTTTCCTTGTATACAACCTGGCTGAAAACATCCATCACTAGAGTAAAAAGAAAAGGGGAGAGCGGACATCCCTGTCGAAGACCTCTGCTTGCCTTGAAATAACCTATGGACTTTCCATTCAAGAGGATTGAAAGCCAGGTTTAGCTAATGCATCCTTTCATACACTGCAACCATTTAACTCCAAAACCCCTCAGTTTCTAGACTTGAAAGAAGCAATCCCAATCAACTTTGTAATACACCTTTTCAAGGTCTAGTTTGACAAGAAGACCTGACCTGCAACTCTTCCTTCTCTCTTCAACACTTTTGTTTGCTATTAGGATACTGTCCACAATTTGTCGACCTTTCACAAAAGCAAACTGGTTAGGTGAGACCAAATCTCCTAGGACTTCTCTGATCCTTTTTGCCTAAACCTTTGCCAAGATTTTGTACACACTCCTTACTAAACTTATAGGCCTGAAATCCTTTACTTCCAAGACACCTTTTTTCGGAATGAGACAAATAAAGGTCGAATTATTACCTTTATTTACAACAGCCAAAGAGTGAAACTCCTTAAAAACCTCCAAAAGATCTTCTTTTATTATATCCCAACAGGTCTGAAAGAAGAAGATAGGAAAACCATCTAGCCCGGGGGCTCTGTCTCCATCCATGTCAAAAACTGCTTCCCTATTTCTTGTTCTTAAAATTCTCTTTCAAGCCAAATTCTCTTTTCTTCTGTTAGGGTCGACCCATCCCAGCTTCCTAGTGTTAGTTTTCTGAAACTTTCCTTAGAATAGTGCTCTTTAAAATGGTTAAGAAAAGTCTCTGTTATCTCCTGTGCATCTTCTACCTCCCTTTGGTCGACTTTAATTTTTGAGATGTGGTTTTTCCTATGCCTTCCTGAAGCATAGTTGTCAAAGAATTTTTGTTAAAAGCTGTTTTTTCTTCTTTAAGCATAGTACCGCAGGGGTACTATTGTAACTTTCATCCTTTTATTTTTTTATGTCTTGTCGCTCTAGTATAAATAATACTAAAGCTGGTGCCACCAGCATAACTTTTGACTCTCAAATCTCTCTTCTCTCTTCCTCTCTTCTTCTCTCCTACATAACATGGTATCAGACCAGGACTATCAGATCTGAAAGGAGAGATCGAGTGAACTGTTTTCTTCGCACCAGATTTCTAGATCTGCCGTTGCCATCTACTGATTGGGTTATTGAAGATTCAGTTTTTTCAAGCACTGAAGTAACTTCTCTCCTTCTCCTTTATTTTCTGGTCGTGCGCCTGGGCAAAACCTGTACTAGGTCTGCTGGCTGAATGTGAGGTTATTAGCACCTCTTTCTTTCCTTATTTGTGGGGTTGGCTGATCCCTGTGTAAAATGTAGGTCAGTGAAGACCTTTTATGTGCTGCGACAACAGCTTTTATGATGAACCTGAAGGCCAGAGAGTGACCCGTACATGCTATGACAACAACTGTGTTTGATGCGTAGGTCAAGAGATGACCTGTATGCACTGCGACAACAGCCAGTTTTTTGATTATGTAGGCCAAGGGATGACCTGTTAGTGCTGTAACAACACCTGTGTTTAACAAAAAAAGTTGTGTTTCAGAAGGAAAAAGGGGTTCCTATCTTCCTTGGTGTTAGACTACCTTTTTATAAGGTTTTGTGCCCACTTTAAGAGTGTTTTTTGAATCTGTAACCATGGGTGGTGAAGATTCTGCCACATCTGGTGTTTCCTCAATGCAGAATGGAATGAGT